TATCATCATCGTTATTATAGCCCCTAAAGCTTTACTCGTGTTCCGTATTAAACCACTGCTACTATGAGGATTTAAAGGTATATTATCCGGGACCCTGGCTTTGGATTGCGAGTGTGTGGTATACAGCGAAAAAGGGATACTCGAAGCTTATTCTTTTGCATTAAAGGGTACATTTCGGAGAAGAAAAGTTGAGCATATGTTAATATACGGCGGCCATATTGGAAAAAGCTGTATGGAAACAAAGTGTATTGAAGTCAAGGTGCAACAGCCAAAGGCCAAAGACCAGATGTCTTTACCGACTAACGATTCTTAAAGTCCAATTTTCGCGTGACTATCTACGTTTTGTCCCGTATATTGCGTTTTGGTCGCGCCAAGTGGTCTTTAAGACTGGTTATGTTTAAGAAATTTTAATCCTACTATTGTTATCGGAAACAACGGGGAAGATCAAAACATTACCACCTTGCTTCCCCCTTTTGACTSGGTAACACCTTTTCATTTTTTTTAGTCAGTCATTCTTGTGTCAGACCCAATGTCGAGCCTCGCATGCGCCGAAGTSAAAGCAAATTACGCCATTATTCCAATGTTTCGTGTGTGTTCATTATAATCTCATTTGCAGGGCTTATTAGCGAGTGAAGACACTTGTATTYGCCTCACTGGTATGCGGAAGTTTTCTGTGATAAGAAAGCATTGACTTTCAKTGACTAAACTGTCAAAAATAGCTTGGCCAATAACTATGACTTAAAAGTCAATGCCCACGAAACTGGTATGAGGAGCATCAAACCTTATTTACATAAAATACCCCATGAAGTTATTTCAACTCAGATATTCAAGCAATTTGGATGTATTAGTTCAGAAATGATTTCCGAAGTACAATGTTTACATGGATATTTATACATCGGTCCATAAAACTGAAAAAAAAAACCTGAAAAAAGTTCAGTCAAAAGTTTGAGTTACATATCAACTACGTGTTCCAATGTACCCAACAAAAAGTCATTTTTGAAGTCGTTTACTTATCACATTGTCCGTCAGAGTACGACTTCCCATTTCAAATAAAATTGCATCAAGGGCTTTGTTTAGAATATAAATACAAATCACTTTTTATTGCTCTCACTCTTTGCGGTTTGTATGCTGGTCACCATGGTATCTTTGTGCACATTTTGAATGGTATTCCAGTGGAGATGCGATTTTAGGACAAAACGACCAAAACACGACGAGATGACTGACATTTTAAAGAAAATTTGGAGTTCAGCTTCGGATCATAACGTTAACAACAACAACACGAATTTTTTAATGTAAACAATTCTAAAAATAATTATCTGTACAAATTATCAATTATAACGTTCAGCATCAATAGGAACAACTTATTTGACTGGTTTGTCTAGCAACTCAGCGAAAAACATCAAAGCACACTGCTTTCTACAAATATTGATCCCGTAAGTCGAGTCCAATGTGATATTTTTGTGGTGATATGCTGCAAGATCGAAAGTTCAGTGTTTTGGTTTTTCTGCGGTCATAGCTGCYGTCGGTTAATATAGTTTGTGATGTCACTTTGTGGTGAACATCAAAGGCATGTACCGACCTCTTGTTTTCTGACTGTGTAGGCGCAAAGTTCAATTGGCTTGTCATAAGCAAATTTGAACAATTAATTGAATTCGTTTTAGAGCTGAGACGGTTACTCGATGAAACAAGATGTAATAGCGATCAATTGTGCGAGATATGGTTATTGTTGTTGTAATTATTCAGTATTATTATAATATTATTATTATTATCATAAATCTTTATCAAAAGTTGTTTTTTTTAAATCCTTTTTGTATTCAACGTTTTAAATTGTTGTAAATAAGCTTATTGTCTATTACTCTATTTACAAAAAAATATTATTAACATCATTATTGTAATTATTAATTATCATTATTATATGTTGTATTATTATTATATTATATATTATATTATTATTATTCATTATTATCATAATATTATAATATGGAAGTTATCATCATTTTGCTATTGTTATTATTATTTTTGCTTTTGTTTTCATTATTGTTGTTGATGTTATTATTTTCATCATACTAGAAAACGATGAAAAMAAACAAACAAAGAAATGCTTGCAATAATTCCAATTTTACAATCAAGTAAATAAAAATTAGAGAGAAACAATTGAATATTTAAATGTGAGCAAACAAGTAATTCAACATTTATAAATTACAAAACATTCATGCAAATAGAATAATAGCTAAGCAAACATATTTAGGAAAGTGAACAGGTTGATAACCTTCGATAAGGGGAGGTTTTTTTTCTTGCATTAAGTGCTAATCCGAACGGTTCAGAGTTGTTCTTCGTTGTTGAGCCAAGCTCTGTGTGAGGTCTTGGTCTCTTGACCCATTTTCTACCTAAAAGACACCGGCATGAGCCACAGAGGGTTTTTAATGATCTTAGTTCTTGTCGACTGTCGTCTTTGTTGTCGGACTCTTGAACTTCACTACAAGACTGGAAGGAATTATCATCGTTTCTTGTTATTGAACAAATTCCGGTGTGAAAATGTTCATGTTTTAAAACGAAAGCGGAATTTCAGTTCAATTGCCTATATTTCTCGCTCTTAATGATTTTTTTTAGAAGTCAGTCGTATAAAAATTCATCTTTTTAGAATATCTTTTTAAAGCTTACGCCTCCGAGTTTATATATATATTATATATATGGCTATTTTTGAAGTTCCTTTTTTCGTTAACATCAGGCCGGAAAAAGACAGGAATAACTCCAATCGAAAGTGCAATCAATATTTTGAGAAACCAATAAAAATACCATATTTCATAATAAGCTTTATTTTGAAAGAATCATATACATTAAAAACACGCGTAAAATATATGCATTTTCACAGTAATTAAGTTTTTTTTTAAATATTAAAAATGGGTTTTTTATTCACATTTATATCGCATCTATATGACAATCTCCATTGCTTTTCTTTACTTTTAATAATTCCTGCAATTCACATTTGTCATTTGTCAGTTCTTGTGTTAAATGGAGGACATAATTTATTATTAATTGCAACGTAATCTTTTGCCGGCAAATTTCTCTTTTTATTGCGTGACTGGTACCCGGTGACACTAAAACAATTCTAGAAAACTTCTTCGTGGACTTCATTTATYAGTACACGTGATTTTYCATTCATTTTTGCAGTTAATGATATAAGCACTTTCTTGACAAACATCGTCCAATATTGTTGCGGAAATGGTAGAATGTACTTTAGACAATTTTGGTTCAATTTAGTCGTGATATTTTAAGAGCTATTTTTCAAAAAATTGCACAATAGTTGCTATATTTTTTTCATGAGTTCGAACTGCGTGAAATAACGACGCCATTTGTTTTTTTTYTRTKTTTTTTTTCTGTCGATCACTAGAACCGCTTTTTATTCAAATGCTAATGTTATATCTTCGAAACTCTTAAGCCCCCGATGAGAAGGGAATTAGTTGTCTCAGGCTCTGAGTGTTGAAGCAGATGCTTTTATTTACAGTTTTTTCTATAAAACAGTCATTTATCTCGGGGATGCATCGCCTCACTGCTGTTTTAGGGGTTTTAGCAGGGGGTAATGGCCGTTACATCTTGTATGTATAAACCCCTTTCTGTCTTTGATGTTATTATGGGAATGACCATTTTRTACAAACAAGTGTGGCTTTTTGACCTCTTTTTCAAGTTACATTTAGTCGACTTAAAATGTAKGTGACTATATTTTAACTGAGATAWTTTTTTCTCGTTRTAAAAAACGTCGAAGACCAAGAAAAATGGCGCCGAGTTTCCATGCTTCACTGCCATTTGTCGCCAGCTCGTAATTTGAACCCTTCGAAACAAGTAAACATGAAGATTTGAAACGCTGATTGGTCCGTCTCTTGTCATACAGGGGACAATGACAAGTTTAGGAACAATGGATCGCTTTAGCAATTGTAATTCGCCGCCAAAAACACGGCACTGTTTTACGACAAACTGCACTTCCACCCTGTATCTAAGAACATCATAACATTTAGCAAATATCTGGCGGACGTCAATCAAAAAAACTGTGGACAGAACGGCGCTCAGAGAKAATTCTGTCATGAATAATTAAACAAACAACAGAGTGGCTTTCCCGCCGACGACTGTGATTGGTTAGAAACGCATCACGTGTCGTGTAGTGTTGAAAAATTGCAATAATTACCGTCCAATTGTCAATGGTTGTTCACGGAGGGTTTGCGTGTTAGCAGAGGTGATAGTAGATGTAAAGTTCGAGAGGTGATTTTTGAAAGGAGTCAGCAGCGCGCACTCATATGAATGGCGGGAAACTGAGTATTGATGGCGTTACTTTGTTTACCTACCAAGCAGCGACAGCATTGACTCCTAGGACGTACAAGTAAATGGATCAAAGATTCTCTTAGAGTAATTCCATCGAACGATCGATCGCCGCGATCAAACGTTCGATCCGTTTGTGGTTCGTTAAGAAGGTATCCATCAGTTGACGGCAGTACATCGATCGCCACGTGTGATTTGTTTACGTTCGTTTTCGTTGTCTCTTAGCCTTGCAAACTGTTTCTTTAAGGTTTTCAAGGTCTTACAAGCTGTGATTTGTGTTTAGACTTGATATCGTTGTAATAGTAGCCGCCTCTTTACTCCCCTTCGCTGAATTCTCAGCCTCTTTAAATTAATCCTGGTTCCCACAACTGATGATGATCTGACTGTTGTTCTACCGTGTTGTTGCAGGACTAGAGGCTTATAGCATGACGACCACTGAGTACCCTCGTCTCTGCTGCTAGAAAATACAGGGTTGCGTATGATGAACGAAAGCCCAATTTCAAATCGTTCGCCGACAATGACAACAGATCGAGTTAGTGCACCAAGCCAGGAACGAAGTYATACTAAGGAAAATGACACCCAGCGTACTCCTACGTCGGACGAAGCTGGAGGTCGAACCACTACAAGTACTACAGATCATGATGGTGGGCGAATAACAGAGACTGATCCAAATGATGTTGACAATAAAACAAAGAGCCTCCAAGACAAGGATAGCGATAAAAAGGTATCTCAATATTTGTGATGAATTACAAAAAAAAATCGTGTTTAAGGCGCTGATCGCGGTGCTAGGGAAGGATAAGGTAATACATCACTCACACTTTCTATATTGCCTGTTGGGCAACCGAGATGTACACTAAAGGGTGTTTAGTAAAGCCAACATACGAATCGTAGCTACAGTAACTCATGAATAATGAAACCTTGCGATGAGGAGTTCGATACTGCGTTCGCGTGCATAGTACTTTAGGGGATGCGAATTCCTTGCATTCCCGCGTTTTTAGAGGTCTGTAAACAAAGTAACGTTCGTGTGGGTTATTGCACTTGTTTCTCTTCGTATGGTGCAGTGTAGGCGATGTATGGTGTTACTACCTCAATGTATTGTTGTAGAACTCTTTTGTGCCGAGCAAACACTGAACAAGGACTGGATGGCGGCAGTATTGTTAGTCGATAGTTCTCGACAAGATCGCACACACTATGTCAGCTCCAACTCATCTATCATGATCGGTTGTTCGCTTGTCTTTCTRCCGTGATTCCAGCTTCGTTTCAATCGGCCTTGATTAGCATTTATACACTATATTCTTTGAGAATGGCTTTGTTTCAAAGTAAAACAACTACTTAATGATCTTGGCTTTCCAGCGTTACGGTGTAATTTCGTGTCTTATTGAAATCCCTTTTAAATCAACTAGCTAATCAATGAAAGAACGAAAAAACGCATTCAACAACACGCAAAAATTTTGATCGTAACTTTAGTTTCTTCAACCCACGTCGGAATACCCGAATACTGCCGTTATCTCGTTATATAAACCTATTTGAATTGTCAGATTTTTTGGTGTTTCTTTGTCACATTTCAATGTGTTATTGCTAGATATTCCACCAACAATGACTAGATTTTCGCCATTATGTTCCTACAATATTGAATGTTTGATTGTAAACAAGAAAGCCACTAAAGTGTTTCATCTACACAATCGAACAAGTGATCGCGCGCTTTTTTCATGTTGAGATACCTAAAAAGCTCCTTCAGTTGGCATACTTTGTCACTTAGAGCAACTCGGTGTTTATAAAATTCAAAATTGCACTTTAACGAAGACATTTCGTGAGATGCGATTGAATTTATTGTGCGTGACTGATCTGGATGTTCAGCGAAGCTCGATCGATGTAAACGAATTTACATGGACAATATTGAATTAATGCCACCGGGCTAGCAATCCACCCACCAACATTCAAAACCTCGTTGATTTTATAGTGTTGTTCAAAACGGCACTTCGCGGGTGTAATTTACTGCCATCTATCATTAGTCTAGTGATTTTAGAAATCCTGATTAAGCTTTTGTTATCGTGTATTTCTCGATGTTTTGCAACGGACGCATTAAAAATCGCCTTTATCTTCTGTTGTTCTGAAGGATTTTGTCAAACGTTCACTACGCTTTCCAASTAAAAGGACCGGTAAAATCCCAACAATAACTTTTYGTAGAATTCTTTGGAAATGTAAAAATCAACCTGCAAGTTCGTATTTTAATAAAAAAGCTTTCGCGAGTGGATATTCAGTATCAGACAATGTTCTTAGTCGTTGTATAGAACTATAACGTTATCAAAAAAAAAAAAAAAAAAGAAAGAAAAAAAATTACCCATTCCTACTCTTTTTTTCCTGGCGGACTGTACTATTTCTGCCTTTCACGATTCATTGCTAATAATTCGCCGCTGTTGTATTTCCACGGGGAATATTTTTCATCACAGGGAACATCAAACAATATTCCACACTACGTTTCGCCAGATCATCTATTAAGGTGGCCCGATATATATGTTTGTCACGACCTTTTAACCATAAATACTTGTCCTTCCTCTTGCTAATACTTTTCTACAATTAACTGCGATAAATTAACTTTATCACGAACCTTTTTAATTCACAGAATTACTGAAAAAATAAGTTAAAAGATGACTAATTTTGAAGTGATATTGAAAAAGTTCGAAACCGTTGTTGAAAGCCAACGGTTGATGTGTCAGTAATGTTAGTACTAAGGTGCTTTGAGTTGGATGAATGTTATTTGTTCGTATAGATTTAATGGTTTTTTACTAGTATATATGTGTGAAGAGTAATAATTATTGTAGTTCATTGAGTTAGTTGGAGATCTCATGATAATAAGTCATGACCTCCAGTGCCATAAATAGTTCTTTTTCCTGTTCCCTGTGTACCCCCAATACCTGATTGGTTTGTGTCATGTTGTAGTAAACATCAATTTCTTTCTGCAGCAAGCACAAGTAAAACAACAACAAAACAAGAAAAAASTGTCCAGCAGTTTGCCYCGACAGGTAAAATTCACTGCTACGTTTTTGCCTTTYCGATATTGATATKTACCAAAAAGCACCCCTCTTTCCTTCCAACAACAACACATGTTTTGTTACATGATATTGTTGAAGGTATTTCAGATATCACAAAACAGGGCAACTATCCAAGATAGATAGAATGCATTTCGAACACCACTGAATTTAAATATCTTAAACTTCCATTAATTTATGGAGTATGTCAATGAACTTAATATTTCCAAGTGGTAATGTTACACACATTGACAATAATTACACCTTGGCATCTGAATCAGCTGTTTTTAGTCACTGGTGTAGATTGTTTTGTAATTTGATTTCTTAGAGGAAACATTATACAGGAATTTGTTGAAAGTTGTGGATGTTCAAGCTTGACCCCTTGAATACACACTTATATAAATCCTTTTGACTGGAGACCCTGTTTTAAATGTATCTCTGCGCAACCTCTATTGCTTGCCATACTATAAAGATGAATTTATTTGAAATAGCAACATTTCGTGTTATTTTTAACAAATTAATTTCTTCAAAATAAGAGTTATACAAAAAGAGCATGATATCATTCTTCCAAAAGAAGGAAAAACAAATTTCTAAGTGTACATTTGCTGTAAAAGAGCAATTGCTTAGAGCAAAATAATTTCTCATGGTTCCTTGAAACGGTATCAATTACTATTATCAGTAAGTGCATTACTTCCTACAAGTTTGACTCACTGTTTTCAGATGTAAGCAGATATATTTCTAGCAATCTAAAACTCAGTAATTTTGGTTTGCTGCAATTTAGTTGCATTGGCATTTTCACTTCAACAAAATTGCTGGGGAAACCTTGAAAAGTGAACTAATTTCAATACTTTGCTGTGTCTGTAAGCAAAACTTCTGCAGGGTAGTGGCATTTTGTAGCAGGTGACATGGTAAAAGGGTTAACAATATCTCAGATAGAAAGACAATATTAATCCAATGCGAAAAGCATTGTATTAACCTTTTTTTACATTACATCAAGGATGTCTTGTTCGGAGTAAGTGCTTCTAAATTTCAACTTGGATATACTATTATTGTAAAAAACGGTATGCTATATATAAACTTGTTGAAAGGATATCAAATTACCAAAGGGGGTTGCGACTGACAAGTACAAATAAAAATATGGAGCGTATTAAAAACATATATCAGCGTTAAATTGCTTTTATATCCATCTAAAAGAATTGTCTTGAATTCCTTTATTTAGTTTATCTTTAGTTCAGTTAAATAACAGAGATTTATTATTATCACACATTTGTTTACTTCCTTTTTCACATACAAATATTTCTACTTGTACTTACTTTTGTTATGGTTTGTGCCAGACGAAGTCACCAGTATACAGTAGCCGCACCGCAGGCCGTACAAATCCGCAAAACACTCTGCCGTCTTGGCCAGTTACTGCGTATCCTCAAACTTGGCATTTTCCAGGGATTCGAGCAGCCCAGTTCCATGCCCCCGCACCAATGTATCCTGGATACCAGCAAAGTAGTGTAAGTTTTTCAATGAATTTGATTCTTTCTTTAATGCAGTGAATACAGTCCCCTAGATACAGTATGACATTGTTCAGTACTGTCAAAATCTGAACACTTTTTCAAAAAGAACAGCAAGTTCATTGGCTTTGTACTATTTTGTTACTAATGGAAGATGGGAAGATATTAGCAATATGGTTTTATGACCGTGTACAAGTCCTTGTAAATTTGAATTCCCTTTGTTTTGACCCAAGTTAAATTTATGTTGCCATTCAACCATAAAAAGCACCAATGTTTTGGTTATAAAACAAGGGCACAATGATCGTCGTAAGATAGTAGGTCTTTCAGAGTATTATACAACTCAATCTCACTCCAAGACCCTATTATAAATATCAACTCTATCATTTAAACCCATTCACGTAATTGTTTTGGCTATAAGAAATACTTCCCCAAATCTGATAACATAGTTCCCATATCCAACCATTTGTATCGTWATGTGTTGTGAGTTTTCCTTGGAACAAAACTACATGTTAATTCTGATTGGCATATGACAAGTTGACACAAAAAAACTTCTTAAAAAACATATTTGAACAAATTTAAAATTTACATTTGAAAGATAACTTATTATATATTGGATTTTTACTATTTCTCAAGCAAAAACCTTTATATTTTTAGATATCATTACCCCCCCCCCCAAAAAAAAACTCCCAAAAGCAGATGAAAGATAGCGTTGACTCTTGTGAAGTGTTTTGCATGGACAATTAAAATAAAATTAAAATATTTTGATAATAGTGCGATGTTCACACAACAACAGTTACTACAGAAAGACATGACGTTTGGAAAAGGTCAAGGTTGATCATTCAAAGGATGGAAACGTTACTGACAGATTTCTAATTATAGATCAAACTTAAATTTTGACTGAACATTTACTACCTTGTCTACCCTGTAAAAATTTAAAAGAAAAATTAAGAAAAATGCAAAAAAAAAAGGTCAGGAAAAGAAGAAAAAACCTCTGAAACCAGCAATTGTCTACCAACCATGATCTTATTTTGTGCCCCTGAAGAGTTAATTTTTATTTTTCCCCTATATCCACAGGTTTACTCAGTGTCTTCATCTAATTCTCCTGGATTAAGTAGTAGAGGATCTAGTGACAGAGCTGACAGTTTAGGTGGAGATGGAGGAGAAGAAAAACTTAGCAAAACAAATTTATATATTAGAGGTCTAAAAGCAAATACTACTGATGAAGACTTAGTACGACTTTGTCATAAGTAAGTAAACAACTTAAATTGTATGATAAGTCATTACTGTCCCTTTCCGGAATCAATTTAACCTTGTATGTCTGTTTAATATTTTGTTTGAATGTAAACTTCAGGTCCCAGTAGAAAACAATATATCCCTTTTTATAATATCATTAAACAGAGAAATAGTTTAACAAAAGCTATGAATGATAGCCAAAAGAAATGTTGTTTACCTATTATAGTCTGAGAAAACTTAACTTTTAACCATCTGTTGTTCTGTAATTTTATKATGTGGTGGATTTCTACCGTCCATTCATAGAAGACTGYAGWTTTTGCAAGTCCTTGTAATTTAGATTGCATCTTAAATGTTTATAAACCTTCTGTTTTAAGGGATAAAACGTTCTTTATTTTAAAAGACATAAAAGGCGAATTGCCTTGGTTTATCTGTGAAATAAAGCAATTGGAGAGCAATCAGAAATACATGTACCAAACAAAATTCTTCACGTTCTGGAATTTCCACAAGTGCCTAAATTACATTTTATAGCCAATATATATAATAAACCACAGCAATTTATCTATTAAAATTGCTTAAATAACAAACAAACAATTATATTAGAGAAGTCTTTACTGTCGGTCTAAGAGTAAAGCACTATTCTATCACAGATGACTGGAAATCACTGCACACGTCTTACACACTATATATATCACTTCAGAGTTATTTTTCTTGTTCCTGAACTCATAAGTAGTAATGGATTTGCATTATGTTCACCCTATAATCTAATGAATTTTTTGTTTGGTAGATATGGGACTATTATTTCAACAAAAGCTATTCTAGACAAAGACACTAATTTATGTAAAGGTAAGGATAGACTCAAAGTCCTGGATTGTTCTGTAACAATCTTCACTGTATACACGTAGTACCAAAACATCACTTTATAATCATGTCTTTAGACCCATATGTACAATTAAAGACGACTTTATTTTGTACTTGAATATTTTTGAATCTAAATCAAGGACTGGTGCTTCCCAGCAGAGATGTATAACCTCCTGCTATGCTGTAGTTAGCTGTCATTTGTATTTTGATGCCACGCTTGCAGCCAGTAATACACTAGATATACATGTAATTATCATATTATCATTAGTAAATTAGTCATTCTTGTCTCTGTTAAAGCTGCTAGAAGAAAACGCTATAGACATAGGAAAAATGAAAATTAATGTGAATGTATAGAGTTCAATTTATAGTAACTCATCCCAAAGAAATACTGAAAAAGTAGAAATGAAATATGGTGTCCTATATGTGTAACCAGCTGTATCCTACAAAGCAAAATAAGAGAGAAAGGAAAACAAAGAGAATTAAAGCAAAGAAAGACAAGCAAGACAAGAGCTAGAAATTAGAGCATTTGCACATTTGGTTTTGCAAAACCAGGTTTTGCAAAATCATTGCAAAACCAGGTTTTGCAAAATCAGATGTTGTGTAAAATGTGTTTTTCAAAGATTGAATGATTGAAAGCATTGTGCCTCTTTTTGTTCACTAGGCTATGGCTTTGTTGACTTTGAAAACCCATCGTCAGCCCAGAAAGCAGTGCAAGCACTTGTTACCAGAGGGATCCAGGCACAAATGGCCAAGGTAAGGCAATCCGTCTACTGTAATCAATCATAAACTAGCTGGTATATCACTGCCTAATGGTATAAAAAGTGGAAAACCACGAGCACCTTGCAGGTACTAACTGAGTAAAAAGTCATTACCATAGTCCATCAGAGGGTTTTGCGGTTGCTTTGATGATTAACACCAGTAACCACGAAGCAACAATTGAAACTTGAAAAGAGTTCTGGTCATTTTAATGAACTAAATCCAAACATGGACACCTCTTGCCACACTTCTTCTCAAACTGTTCTTGTTTTTAATTAATCTTCATTGAAATAAAACAAGTGGTCTTTCAAGTTAATTCTAAAGGATTTAATTAAATAATATCTCTATGGATATAAATGTAAGTGAAACTTCAGCAATAAAATGAACAACATTAAACCTAACTTAGTTTATAAAAGTTTAAAAACTTCCCAACAGAGCAGAGCAGATTGTGACCTAGCTAAAAAGGTTTAACTTTACAAAGTGGTCCAAATACATTTTTAATAAGTTAAGATTATGTATAAACAAAAAGCAATTACGGACAATCATTGACCTGTTGTATATGATTTATTCACCTGTCTAATGGCTTTAGCTGCTACGGAAAGGATAAATGACTTGTGAACACACGCAGGGCCATACAGCAGTGGAATGTGGTTATWAACAGGTGCAACATTGTGTCATTAAACAAAGACTTACGGAAAATTGGCTTCCTGAGTAACAATAATCAATATAGTATAATAATTTCAAAATTTGATCAAAAATCTGTTTTACATTATTTATGAATATCCTACAAAAGTAAATACATAATGAGTAAATATTATGAATACTTAATTATATGACTATTTTAAAAATGAGTTTGGAAAATACTGGATTAACGTAATTAAACAGGTATTTTAACTTAGATTCTTTTTTTCTTTGTTTGGTTTTTATTAGTAAATTGTACATTGATAAAATGAAGGTTCTGGAACAAAAATCTTCGCTGTGAATAATTTGAAATGATTCAATGGAACATAAAGTAGCAATTCTTTTAATTCTTAGCTTGAAACTGGTACTTTAACATTAACCCTTTTCAAACCATGAAGATATTGTTATGCTCTTATCACTCAAGTGTGATAGACTATGTGATTAGTTTAATTGGCACTGCTGAGAAAACCAGTGCTTTCTTTGACAACTTCAAGAGCTGTTCAATTTGTATTTTCACGTGAAAGGGCCCAGCAGGAAACGTTTGTAGCACAAAAACTTAACAAACTAATTAAACAAGAGCAAAACAAAGGAATTCTATGAATACTTATGCTAATTCCACTTGGAAAGCAATATGTTGTTGATGGYTCTAGCATAAAATCACTTGTTCACYGGTGGCAATTCAGCTGGTRGTCCTATAGACATCTGCTAGCTTTATGTTTCTTGTCCTTTCTTTTTTACCTCCTGTTGTCACATGGCAGTGCAATGGTTACGTGTTGATATACAATAATATCATAGTTTTGAGCTGCACCTTTGAGCAGTGTAATCATTTATACAAATACACTTCAATAGTCGTTACTCCTGTTGTATTTTGTGTCTATTGTTTTGTGTCTAATATTGGACCATTGGAAATCATCTGTTGTCGAGTCTTCCTTTGTTTTACTAGTAAATCTATTACATAATTCTTCTTTGTGGCTTTTGTCCACGTGACTGAAAACCCCGCTCCACTACCCCCAAAGGAACATCAATAAACAATGAAAAGAAATGAAATTTGCATGACTAAATGTACAATAAACTAGACTCAAGAATTAAATAATTAAGTTTACCTCAAAACATTAACCTCAACTTACAAACTGGTACAAAAATATAAAATGTCTTGAGAGTATTGCTTCTTATTTTGATAGCTACAAGTAGAGGAAAAATCCTCTAATTTAAGAAAACGTTTTTCATCTATCTATATTGCTGCTAATACACTGCCAATATACCCTGGCACATTGATATGCTTTTGTTATGTAATTRAACAGTTATCATTGCTAACCTCGGCTTTCTTGTCCAATTCTTGGCTTCCTTGTATTGTTCTTGTACTCTCAGTTTTTTGTTTGTTACTCTAGTGTCTTGCAATAGTATTCTTGTATTGCTTGTAGCCTTCTTGTSTTAGCCATTGGTGCTTACAACATTTGCTGGAAATTTTAACCTACTTGGTCCCTAAGAAAAAAAGAATTTCCAATGTTGATTCTGCATGACCAGTGTACAAATTGCAACATTTATAAATAGCACAAACTTTGTTTTTTGATGTCTAATTAAGACTGTTTATCTAGTAGTAGACTAAAGTAGACAAAGGAATTAGCATAGTTTAGAACTATTTAAGCTTTGAGGATTAAGTGTGTCACCTCTGATACAATAAAGTTTCTAGCTGTTGTTATAGGTTAAAGAGTTATTTTTAAGGAATTCAAGGCCTTTCTTGCTTCTTTTTACCCTCCACTTATGGCCTCATTTTTCTTGTTTGACTAAACGTTTTTTTTATTTTGTAGCAACAAGAACAAGATCCTACAAATTTATATATTCAAAATCTTCCACCACACTACGATGAAGCTGTAAGTACTGTAATACTATTTTTTTTTCAAATATAGGTCACAACATTTAATAATGTATTTGTTCATCTTTTAAGATGTTGGAAAACATGTTTAGCAAGTATGGCAAGGTCATTTCTACTCGGATTTTGCGAGACAAGGATACAAATAGCAAAGGAGTTGGGTTCGCCAGGTATGTCTCATACTGTTTAATATTTTGACTTTTATTTTCCCATCTTTTTTCACTAAGCTATTCATCTGTACGCTTTTTTTTGTTTTTTTTGACCATCCATTGGCTACTCAAACTGAATAATTATGATGTTATGACTATTATTCTCCAATGTAGTTACTATCTGTAAAATCTAATTAGTTTTTGCCTATGTTTTTGCCAATGTATTGGTAGGCTGACCTTTTTGTATGAGTCAACCACTAAAATCATCAAAGKGTGACAATACGGGAAACACTGAAAACAAAAACAAAKAAAAACATTCAAAATAAWGAGTAATAACTTTAGTTTTCTATKAAAGTGTATTTTACTTGTTATTGAAAMCCATTCYCYWAYGCAAAACAACRTTGACAATGCTCAACTCACAGAAATTTCTCTCTAACAGAATGGAAAGTTCAGAGAAATGTGAACAAGTCATAATGGATTTTAACAAAAAGACTTTGCCAGGTTTGTGCTGAAAATAAATGTGAAATTATGAACAGTCAATACCTCTATTTCATGGTATTCCAATATTTAAAGCTAGAAAATTGAAAATGCTTAAAGATTTTGAGTTTAAAGAGCATTCATAGAGTACAAACACTAAAACTGTGCAACATAAATACCACTAAATACTGCTAAATTATGCTAATTCTATTGTTTTCTATTGTTTAATTAACACTATTTTGTAGTAAATAGTGTACTCTAATATGGAAATTGCTTATTTAGGTTGTATTCAGGAGCTAGTGGTGAAGTTTGCAGATGGTGGACCAAAGAAAAGACAACCTGGTATTTATCTAACTTATATATTGTAACCTCTGATAGCACTGGCAGTATAAATACCAAATAAGCTACATACTTTCTTGATGGTTTTGGGACATTTTGGAAGAACAATGTTAAAAATAACTAGCACAGAAAAGCACTTCACAGATCTAGCCAACATACTTGCCAGTACGCCAGCCAAAGCAGAACTGACTTTATTTCCAAACAACTGACACATTGCGTGATAGCTCACATCACACTGCATGTCACGCAACGCACTTAAAGTACATCATTTTCAACCTTATCCACTCTAATGATAATTTTGATTGGTTTGTTTTCTAGATCAACCATGGCAACAAACTCGGCATGAGGCAAGTAGATAATATCAATTACTAATAAGCATAATTCCATAAAGGATGACAATATTGCCAGGCATTACATAGCCTGATTATACAGCTTGGTTTAGTGGTTGCATTAGAGGCCAARAAAGAACCTTCATAAGGCTCCTGAAGTCTTTAAAAATATTATGGAATAATAGCAAATAAATGACCCTTAATCAGTAGTGAAGATTCCATAWTTATGACAGTGCCACAGCCAATGCACCTAATTCTGGAAGTGATGTCATAGAAATTATTAAATTGTGAAAACGTGGCTTAAGTGCAGTCACAGCATGACAACTCCATAGATTTATTGAAGCTCAAATAAAATCTCTAAAGGAAGAAGCTGTCAAAACCAATGTAACATATAACCATAATCATATAACAACTGAAGTTAAAAACAAAACAAAAACAAAAAAAGCAAGCAAGCATACAAGCATACTGATTATTTTAGATGAAATTTACACCTTTGAAAGGTTGTTCATAGGGTTGGTCTGCATATTCAACTGTTTCAAAGAAGATTAGAACACAAGTCCCATGAAACAATGCTTGATTGTGTTTGGTCATCAATTACTTCAATCAATAGCTTGGCCAGATATTAAAGTAGCTGATATAATTAAATGTAAAATAAACTTTTATTTTCCAGGGAGGACTGCAAGTAGGTGGTTATGAATCCATGGTACTCCAGAATGGGTAAATAATTTCCTGGATACTTATATCATTTTCAATGTAGTAGSGAAGTAATAATTATTCATCTTTTTTCACAGAAATACAAGAGTAATAACTACCCATGGKACAGCTATTCCTAGTCAGGTATCAAAAAACAACTAAACAGCACAACTTAAAAAATATTAAAATRCATTTGTTGAATTGTTACATTAAAAAATGCAGACAGTTGAAATTTAAGACAGTCACAATAACAAGTTTGAATTATTTTGCATGTTTTGTACAAACAAACATTTTTTTTAACAAACCAAGAGTTATCTTGATAATAATTCAATGATTTGATAAATTTAAACTGAGTTTTTATGTTTACAGGGTGCTTATGTACAAGGAGTGCCACTACCTACCTATCAGGTAATTCAGTTTAAGGAAATTATAATAAAGAGAATACCGATAAAGCATTTATTTACTGCCATGGAGGTTTATGATGCGGTAGACAACAGTGTTAAGCATTTTGGATCAGGTTGAGGCTGGGGTGGGATGGGKTAGGTTTTGTATGGCTGTGCAACAGCACTGATTGTGATGCTAAATGAAAATACTGATTCAAGAATTTATTGCCATTGTGGCACAGTACAGTTGTGGCACAAGAGGAGCAAAAGTCCTTTACAAAAAGTCATCTGCCACAAAACAATTTTTTGTAAATTTTAAAATTATAAATCACACATTCATACATTGTACTATTCTGGGATTTATCTTAAATAAGACATTTTATTATTTTTTTCTTATTTAGTTACCAGCAGGTGGAAGTTGGGTTACACCACAACATTATCTACAGATGCAAGCTCATGTCCCTCATGTAAGTTGTAGTTTATTAATCACAACAAAAATGAAATTACACTGCATGTCAAATACTGCCTTGAGTATATGATGCACATCATCAATGGCATAACATCAACAACTGCCTCAACTCAACATAGAAAAAAAACTGACAAAACTCCAATGCCACATTAACAAGAACAAGGGAAACAAAGTGAATGCCGATCAATGCATCCAAAATCCCTTCAGCTACTGGAGTACAGAGCTATGCGAACATGTGTCAAGACGAAACCCATTGGCAAGATTTTGTTAAAATTGGCCAGATGTATGCAAGCTTGCTTAGAAGACCTCATGTGATTTTGAAAACTTCTTTTTTTTAAAAAAAATGCTTTAAAATTTAACACTCAAGGTGTTGTCACTTATAATATGTGGACAATGATCACACCCCTAGCAATTATAACTTAACCTAAGTTCAACCATGCATGATGTATATGCCCCATTGTAATATGAACATTGTATGTTTAGAGCCAGATAGCAGTCAGTCCTGCTTCAATGGAGCACAGTGCAGCAGTTCATCAAAATGCTTTAGCAAACCAGATGAACCAAATGCACATTTCGGCAGGCTCACAGTACGTCACTAGTCCAGTACAGAGCTCATTCCCTCAAAATTCCTGGCAAGTYGTACAGCATTCAGCTGCAGCTGGGGGGCAGGGGCAGCATCACCATCCACAGCATTACGTAGGAATGGAGGTATGRTTGCAATTTGAAATATAAATGTTATAAGTGTACAGATATTCAAAAAACTTGAAAGTGTTCAAGTGAGATTATATTATCACTGAAAGGAACATGAATATTATGATAGCTGTTTTTATCATTTCCTTTTCTTTTCCATTTTTCATTTGACAAATTTAATAAAAGAAATTTATGAAGTAAAAAGAGTATTTTTTCAAGCTTTTTACTCAAAAGACATTCAATTCTCGTTATAATTATGCCCCCTAATTTACAAAACTTCCTTACTTTACATGGCTCAAGCTTTTTAATTTGCATTTTCAAACGTTTCCAATTTTGGGGTCTAACTATAAAGGACTCATTACATAGAAAGGTGCACATTGCATAGAACTAAATCTACCACAACCACAATTCTTTGTACTTTGATGTTTTTTGATGATGATGATGGTGATGATGATGGTGATGATAAACCTCCATTACTGCTCCCAGTACTCCTACGGATAATGATTAGGACAACAATAATGTGCAATATAGATAATCTCCCTATAGATATAATGATATTTGTGGTGGTGATGATGATATCCAGAATAAAGATGACAATAATAATCGTTTGCACTGCTTTAGCCTATTCATTGATATAAACAATGATTCCTGGCACAAATAACACTGCTTAACCTAAATTATTAAGTACAACTACGGRTAACAACAGTYTTAACACAAGGAMACGCATGCAGATAATCAAAGCACCCAATTAATAAAGCACCTTGGTTTAATGACTCCTTTGATGTAGGACCCTAGCTCCATGTTAAGCAGTGACGTTAGTGATCATGGCCCTCCCTTATCGCCTCAGGCAGGGGTACACCATCAACAAATGACATCAGCTGAGCAAGGACTTGATGACCAACACATAGCAGCTTATTCCGCTGCATATCAGCAAAGATGGCAGCTAGACCCAGCTCCAAGGTATAAGCTTAATAGAGCTTATTTTTCTTTTAAATTCAATTTTGTATTGAACTGTTTTATATATATACTAAATTACTTTATAGGTTAATTATGTCTGCAGTATTTTAAGATTAATGTAAACGGACCTTGTAAAATGTTTTGCGAAAGCAAAGATTACTGTAACTTGTCAGAAACCACGCCGGCTGAGAAAATTCGAATCTTTTGCATAAATTCAGAGAGTTTTTATTGAAAATTCCTCATAATTTCCTTGTAAAAGCAGTTTTGCAAATGCTAAGTCATTTCCTGCCTAGAAAACCAATTAACTTACCGGATAATGCAGGAAAATGTCCGAAACAAGTTCAAGAAAAACGTTTTTCTCGCTGCAGGACGCCATGTTGCAAGAAGTTTTTTTAGTAAAACTGTATGCGCATGCTTCGCACGGGATTCCTGTGTCACTTATGCGTTTTTCATCCATTTATTTACTTATTTCAATCTTTCATTCCGTTCATTTCAATATTTTATTTTATTTCTTTTTCTTTTCAGATAAAGACGATAAATGATTTTCCAATTCTAGATAAATGGTTAGTTGTACAATTGTTCACCGTTGTTTGAAATGGGTGTTCGTTGGTATGTGTGTTTGTATAAGTTTACATAATCATAATTCCTTAACTAAATTCCCAGATGATCTAAATTAATAAGTTAAATAATTACTAGTTTAAATTGACATTGTTTTTGTACAATTTTATCTGAAATACCCTACTAATTTGACATTGAAATAGTCGAGCGAGCATACGACAAGTAAGGGATCGAATCTTATGAATTTACGTTGCAATGTAAAAGAATAAAAACAGTTTCGAAAACAGGTTAYATGAACTCCTTTCCTAAAATCGTAATTGCTTAATTTCACTGCTTTGCTATTTTACTAATTTTAAAGAGATGCTGTTCGTCTCCACGAAGTTTGTTTTTGGCTCAGTTCATGAATTTAAATGAGAGATTTGGACACGATACCTGTCACAAGATTCATTCTCTTACTTGCGAACTTCTTTAGATAATTCATTAATAGCATTAATATTCACAAATGATGTCTCGAGTATCTCATGTTCCAAAAACGCAAGGTTATTTTTTGCTATAAGAGAGAGATTGAATTACCATGAAGAATTGCAACCTTACTTTAAAACTACAGGTAACTTGTGTTCAGCCTCATTCCCGACGCTGTTTTTAGTCTATAGAAGAATTGACGACTCGCTGGATAACAGCTATCTCTGCTTGTGTTTATTAGTGTGATGTACGTGTGCAATATAAAGGAATATTGGACGCTGACACAGCGAATTAATTGGTATTGCCATTGCCTAATCACAAAAGAGTGTATAAAGTTTTGAGTGTTTTTATAGCTGTTCATGAGTTACCTGTAAGTTATTAATAATGTTAAAAATTCACCGTATAAACCATTAGTCCTGACTAACTGTATCTTTTGCATAGTGCTGCTCATCTTTCTACATGCGTTATACACAGCTATTATATTTTTCGAAATTTTTGAATTACCAAAGACGTATTTTGAGACCAAACGAAAAACATATATATATATGCATCATCCAATGCAAGCAGGCCAACTATTTATCGCAAGTCTACAAGGCTGCTAGAAGCTAAAAACATACTCTTAAATATGATATACGTTATTTATCTGAATGGTAAGACGAATAGTTGGATTGCCTGTGTTTTGAACAGACCAAATATGGTCTAAAAATCTCATATGATTACGTCACGATCTATTTATAAACCTGTCATGAAAATTATTAATTTTTTTCTACGAAGGTCTGGGACCTTATCTTTCCTCTGGAGTTGTCGCAGGCGATATTCTAGAGGCTATTATTCTGTATATATTCTATACTCCCCACTAGAAGGCAAAAATGCCTTTATTTSAAATATTATGGCTTTTAAAAACGCATATCAACTCATTTATTCATGTTGCTGTTTGACGTCAGGAGCCTCTTAGTTAAGGCTGATAATGCACTCGCAGGTTTTGACGATTATTTGGGCGTATAGGTGTTCAATATGAGTAGTGAGCAACGAGTAGTTTACGACTTAGCATGGTAGAATCATTTTTGCTCCTATTTACCTCAAACTTTGCCATATGAAATCAGCTTGTAGAATTTTTACTGAACAAGGATATCAGTCAGTTTTTGGTTTCGAGACGTCTCAAATTTTTTTCCCAAATTCCCGTTTAGTAATAAGTTTTCTTATCATTTACTCTTTGTAGCAAAATCTCGAGAAATATAGCGTCTTTTTCCAATTGTTTATTTGATGAAGAGAAAGGTATATTTTGGTCTAAAATGGCCGGGGAAAATAAATTTTTTGACCAAAATGAATCTCTTTTATTATCCCACCCCTGCAGCTTAGATAAATTGGTCTAATATCTGACGTGCAGCTAAATACGTCGCTCACTTCGCCTGTTGGGCGTGGCATGCACGTGCATGTCACGTGTATTAGTTCGAATTTATTTATAGATTTTTACTTGATTTTTTCTGTCGATGACGGATGTTCTTTATATAACAGTCTGATATTCTTGAGCAGATCACTTATGTACACAATAATATACATGGACTGATATACATAGATACGCTGCCATGCAGCTCTGAGTATCGAGACCGAGTCTCGTTTTGTTTTTTGTTTAACCTGTTTTTATGACGAAAAACTTTGAAAATTGAGATGGATGATTATGTATTTTTTAGATAATTTTTCACCTAAAAATCGAATACTTTAAGGCGATTATGTAAAGAGGTTAGAGTGATTCACATTGCCTTAGTGAAGTAATTAAATTTCTAGTAAAGTTGGCTTATGATCCATTATCGGTAGTCCAGCTGAAGTAGAAACAGTAGGATTACAGTTTTCTTAAATATTTTTCCACTAGAGCGAAGTAGAATCACTCTAAACAGAGTTTATCTAATGTTCTTAAATACCATAGATAGACCTGATCCGTTTTATCGTATAATAAATGCCTTCTTTCACGAAACAATTCACTTTTGGGGTCTGCTATAACGGAAAGGATCAGCTTTTGCTTTGTGATCACTGACGCAAACAGATGTGTACCGTTTAGTTGGGGAATGTCCATTCAACGTACAGCTGTTTCGATTCTGTTCACAAGTAAACGACCCTAAATTACCGCCAACCAGCTACCACTTATCATTGCAGACACCGATACAATGACCTTAAAAGTGAATGGTTCCGTGTGAAGGAGCTCTAGTCGTTCTAAAAATCGGCCTAAGTTTCGTACGTGTAAATTGGCCACGTCGAAGGGTCAGCGAATGAGTGTGACCCGCAGGGGGAGGGTGGGGTGGGCNTACCCATGGGACAGCTATTCCTAGTCAGGTATCAAAAAACAACTAAACAGCACAACTTAAAAAATATTAAAATGCATTTGTTGAATTGTTACATTAAAAAATGCAGACAGTTGAAATTTAAGACAGTTAACAAGTTTGAATTATTTTGCATGTTTTGTACAAACAAACATTTTTTTTAACAAACCAAGAGTTATCTTGATAATAATTCAATGATTTGATAAATTTAAACTGAGTTTTTATGTTTACAGGGTGCTTATGTACAAGGAGTGCCACTACCTACCTATCAGGTAATTCAGTTTAAGGAAATTATAATAAAGAGAATACTGATAAAGCATTTTATTTACTGCCATGGAGGTTTATGATGCGGTAGACAACAGTGTTAAGCATTTTGGATCAGGTTGAGGCTGGGGTGGGATGGGKTAGGTTTTGTATGGCTGTGCAACAGCACTGATTGTGATGCTAAATGAAAATACTGATTCAAGAATTTATTGCCATTGTGGCACAGTACAGTTGTGGCACAAGAGGAGCAAAAGTCCTTTACAAAAAGTCATCTGCCACAAAACAATTTTTTGTAAATTTTAAAATTATAAATCACACATTCATACATTGTACTATTCTGGGATTTATCTTAAATAAGACATTTTATTATTTTTTTCTTATTTAGTTACCAGCAGGTGGAAGTTGGGTTACACCACAACATTATCTACAGATGCAAGCTCATGTCCCTCATGTAAGTTGTAGTTTATTAATCACAACAAAAATGAAATTACACTGCATGTCAAATACTGCCTTGAGTATATGATGCACATCATCAATGGCATAACATCAACAACTGCCTCAACTCAACATAGAAAAAAAACTGACAAAACTCCAATGCCACATTAACAAGAACAAGGGAAACAAAGTGAATGCCGATCAATGCATCCAAAATCCCTTCAGCTACTGGAGTACAGAGCTATGCGAACATGTGTCAAGACGAAACCCATTGGCAAGATTTTGTTAAAATTGRCCAGATGTATGCAAGCTTGCTTAGAAGACCTCATGTGATTTTGAAAACTTCTTTTTTTTAAAAAAAATGCTTTAAAATTTAACACTCAAGGTGTTGTCACTTATAATATGTGGACAATGATCACACCCCTAGCAATTATAACTTAACCTAAGTTCAACCATGCATGATGTATATGCCCCATTGTAATATGAACATTGTATGTTTAGAGCCAGATAGCAGTCAGTCCTGCTTCAATGGAGCACAGTGCAGCAGTTCATCAAAATGCTTTAGCAAACCAGATGAACCAAATGCACATTTCGGCAGGCTCACAGTACGTCACTAGTCCAGTACAGAGCTCATTCCCTCAAAATTCCTGGCAAGTYGTACAGCATTCAGCTGCAGCTGGGGGGCAGGGGCAGCATCACCATCCACAGCATTACGTAGGAATGGAGGTATGRTTGCAATTTGAAATATAAATGTTATAAGTGTACGGGTATTCAAAAAACTTGAAAGTGTTCAAGTGAGATTATATTATCACTGAAAGGAACATGAATATTATGATAGCTGTTTTTATCATTTCCTTTTCTTTTCCATTTTTCATTTGACAAATTTAATAAAAGAAATTTATGAAGTAAAAAGAGTATTTTTTCAAGCTTTTTACTCAAAAGACATTCAATTCTCGTTATAATTATGCCCCCTAATTTACAAAACTTCCTTACTTTACATGGCTCAAGCTTTTTAATTTGCATTTTCAAACGTTTCCAATTTTGGGGTCTAACTATAAAGGACTCATTACATAGAAAGGTGCACATTGCATAGAACTAAATCTACCACAACCACAATTCTTTGTACTTTGATGTTTTTTGATGATGATGATGGTGATGATGATGGTGATGATAAACCTCCATTACTGCTCCCAGTACTCCTACGGATAATGATTAGGACAACAATAATGTGCAATATAGATAATCTCCCTATAGATATAATGATATTTGTGGTGGTGATGATGATATCCAGAATAAAGATGACAATAATAATCGTTTGCACTGCTTTAGCCTATTCATTGATATAAACAATGATTCCTGGCACAAATAACACTGCTTAACCTAAATTATTAAGTACAACTACGGRTAACAACAGTYTTAACACAAGGAMACGCATGCAGATAATCAAAGCACCCAATTAATAAAGCACCTTGGTTTAATGACTCCTTTGATGTAGGACCCTAGCTCCATGTTAAGCAGTGACGTTAGTGATCATGGCCCTCCCTTATCGCCTCAGGCAGGGGTACACCATCAACAAATGACATCAGCTGAGCAAGGACTTGATGACCAACACATAGCAGCTTATTCCGCTGCATATCAGCAAAGATGGCAGCTAGACCCAGCTCCAAGGTATAAGCTTAATAGAGCTTATTTTTCTTTTAAATTCAATTTTGTATTGAACTGTTTTATATATATACTAAATTACTTTATAGGTTAATTATGTCTGCAGTATTTTAAGATTAATGTAAACGGACCTTGTAAAATGTTTTGCGAAAGCAAAGATTACTGTAACTTGTCAGAAACCACGCCGGCTGAGAAAATTCGAATCTTTTGCATAAATTCAGAGAGTTTTTATTGAAAATTCCTCATAATTTCCTTGTAAAAGCAGTTTTGCAAATGCTAAGTCATTTCCTGCCTAGAAAACCAATTAACTTACCGGATAATGCAGGAAAATGTCCGAAACAAGTTCAAGAAAAACGTTTTTCTCGCTGCAGGACGCCATGTTGCAAGAAGTTTTTTTAGTAAAACTGTATGCGCATGCTTCGCACGGGATTCCTGTGTCACTTATGCGTTTTTCATCCATTTATTTACTTATTTCAATCTTTCATTCCGTTCATTTCAATATTTTATTTTATTTCTTTTTCTTTTCAGATAAAGACGATAAATGATTTTCCAATTCTAGATAAATGGTTAGTTGTACAATTGTTCACCGTTGTTTGAAATGGGTGTTCGTTGGTATGTGTGTTTGTATAAGTTTACATAATCATAATTCCTTAACTAAATTCCCAGATGATCTAAATTAATAAGTTAAATAATTACTAGTTTAAATTGACATTGTTTTTGTACAATTTTATCTGAAATACCCTACTAATTTGACATTGAAATAGTCGAGCGAGCATACGACAAGTAAGGGATCGAATCTTATGAATTTACGTTGCAATGTAAAAGAATAAAAACAGTTTCGAAAACAGGTTAYATGAACTCCTTTCCTAAAATCGTAATTGCTTAATTTCACTGCTTTGCTATTTTACTAATTTTAAAGAGATGCTGTTCGTCTCCACGAAGTTTGTTTTTGGCTCAGTTCATGAATTTAAAAGAGATTTGGACAAGATACCTGTCACAAGATTCATTCTCTTACTTGCGAACTTCTTTAGATAATTCATTAATCAGCATTAATATTCATAAATGATGTCTCGAGTATCTCATGTTCCAAAAACGCAAGGTTATTTTTTGCTATAAGAGAGAGATTGAATTACCATGAAGAATTGCAACCTTACTTAAAACTACAGGTAACTTGTGTTCAGCCTCATTCCCGACACTGTTTTTAGTCTATAGAAGAATCTTGACGACTCGCTGGATAACAGCTATCTCTGCTTGTGTTTATTAGTGTGATGTAAGTGTGCAATATAAAGGAATATTGGACGCTGACACAGCGAATTAATTGGTATTGCCATTGCCTAATCACAAAAGAGTGTATAAAGTTTTGAGTGTTTTTATAGCTGTTCATGAGTTACCTGTAAGTTATTAATAATGTTAAAAATTCACCGTATAAACCATTAGTCCTGACTAACTGTATCTTTTGCATAGTGCTGCTCATCTTTCTACATGCGTTATACACAGCTATTATATTTTTCGAAATTTTTGAATTACCAAAGACGTATTTTGAGACCAAACGAAAAACATATATATATATGCATCATCCAATGCAAGCAGGCCAACTATTTATCGCAAGTCTACAAGGCTGCTAGAAGCTAAAAACATACTCTTAAATATGATATACGTTATTTATCTGAATGGTAAGACGAATAGTTGGATTGCCTGTGTTTTGAACAGACCAAATATGGTCTAAAAATCTCATATGATTACGTCACGATCTATTTATAAACCTGTCATGAAAATTATTAATTTTTTTCTACGAAGGTCTGGGACCTTATCTTTCCTCTGGAGTTGTCGCAGGCGATATTCTAGAGGCTATTATTCTGTATATATTCTATACTCCCCACTAGAAGGCAAAAATGCCTTTATTTSAAATATTATGGCTTTTAAAAACGCATATCAACTCATTTATTCATGTTGCTGTTTGACGTCAGGAGCCTCTTAGTTAAGGCTGATAATGCACTCGCAGGTTTTGACGATTATTTGGGCGTATAGGTGTTCAATATGAGTAGTGAGCAACGAGTAGTTTACGACTTAGCATGGTAGAATCATTTTTGCTCCTATTTACCTCAAACTTTGCCATATGAAATCAGCTTGTAGAATTTTTACTGAACAAGGATATCAGTCAGTTTTTGGTTTCGAGACGTCTCAAATTTTTTTCCCAAATTCCCGTTTAGTAATAAGTTTTCTTATCATTTACTCTTTGTAGCAAAATCTCGAGAAATATAGCGTCTTTTTCCAATTGTTTATTTGATGAAGAGAAAGGTATATTTTGGTCTAAAATGGCCGGGGAAAATAAATTTTTTGACCAAAATGAATCTCTTTTATTATCCCACCCCTGCAGCTTAGATAAATTGGTCTAATATCTGACGTGCAGCTAAATACGTCGCTCACTTCGCCTGTTGGGCGTGGCATGCACGTGCATGTCACGTGTATTAGTTCGAATTTATTTATAGATTTTTACTTGATTTTTTCTGTCGATGACGGATGTTCTTTATATAACAGTCTGATATTCTTGAGCAGATCACTTATGTACACAATAATATACATGGACTGATATACATAGATACGCTGCCATGCAGCTCTGAGTATCGAGACCGAGTCTCGTTTTGTTTTTTGTTTAACCTGTTTTTATGACGAAAAACTTTGAAAATTGAGATGGATGATTATGTATTTTTTAGATAATTTTTAACTTAAAAATCGAATACTTTAAGGCGATTATGTAAAGAAGTTAGAGTGATTCACATTGCCTTAGTGAAGTAATTAAATTTCTAGTAAAGTTGGCTTATGATCCATTATCGGTAGTCCAGCTGAAGTAGAAACAGTAGGATTACAGTTTTCTTAAATATTTTTCCACTAGAGCGAAGTAGAATCACTCTAAACAGAGTTTATCTAATGTTCTTAAATACCATAGATAGACCTGATCCGTTTTATCGTATAATAAATGCCTTCTTTCACGAAACAATTCACTTTTGGGGTCTGCTATAACGGAAAGGATCAGCTTTTGCTTTGTGATCACTGACGCAAACACTGAGATGTGTACCGTTTAGTTGGGGAATGTCCATTGAACGTACAGCTGTTTCGATTCTGTTCACAAGTAAACGACCCTAAATGACCGCCAACCAGCTACCACTTATCATTGCAGACACCGATACAATGACCTTAAAAGTGAATGGTTCCGTGTGAAGGAGCTCTAGTCGTTCTAAAAATCGGCCTAAGTTTCGTAYGTGTAAATTGGCCACGTCGAAGGGTCAGCGAATGAGTGTGACACGCAGGGGGAGGGTGGGGTGGGCATCTTGCGTTTTGTTGATAAATTGTAGTTGCACTGGATTTATAAGAATGACACCCAGCCATCTTTTTCATGCGAGTAGTATTATTTCTATCTCTTAAATCGACGTTCTAATAAAACACAGAAAAGATGTACGAGATTTTCAGGTKTGTTGACATTTTTGCATTCTCGAAGGAATTGCGAATTCGATGTATCAAAATCGTCACGATTTAGTGGCGACGGTACCAAAGTCGCCGGTTGGTTTCAACAAAACTCGTTTTTGAAGCTCACATCGCTCACACYGAGTCTGACCCTCGTGTGAAAGGATATCCTGGGTGACTGTTCTTAGTTTGCTTCTAGAATAAACCGCTGACGCCAAAATAAGATCTTTACGACGAGGAAAAACTAACTTAGCTTAGTTGAATTAGTTTTTCGTCGCTGTATAGTAGATGGGAAACATGGTCAAGATACTTYAGTTGTCGTGAATTTCTTGGTATTGTAAGAGTAAAGCAAGTAATGTTATATTTGTAGTTGTAGGATGCTTGTCAATAAAATGGACTTCCATCAGGATGGTGGTTTTATCTTCTTTTTATTTATTTTTTATTTTTTGGTGAAAAAGATAGTGGAGTGTAATCCCAACTGTTGCAAGGCGCGCCATTTTGTGTAGCGAGCACGGTTTCGCGTCAAAATGAAACTAAGAGAATTTTCTTGAATTTTCTTATTGCGCGCATGTAGAGAGATAGACTAATCGAATACGAATCGACGCCAATCTTTTGTGGGAAAAAGATGGATGAAAAGGGATGAAAAAGATGGGATGAAAAGACAAAAACAGTTGCTAGGTCTACATCTACCATTTTTTGCATTTTGTTCCAGAAAATGGTATTGTAGCTCATTGCTTGAAATAGGACATAAATTGGATACATACTCCTACGATTCTCCGCCTTGCTCATGCACATACAGAGATGGCTCTCCATGCAATCCTCTTTTTCCTTGTCACTACATTTTCAATGCTATTTTTGAAAGATTCTTTTGCCTAGTGCTTATATATGTTACAAAAAATTTCAATGTTTTTTATATGAAACTACACGAAGATAGTTTCTTCCTTGCGTTTCTTGGTAAGAACGGTTCCTGGTTTGTGTTGAGCGTCAGGATGATTCGACAACTCCGTAGGACACGAACTCACCTGAAACAAGTGAGAAAACAAATGGGAAATTACTTKATGAATCTCAAAGAACGGGAAAAATTGAATACATAACTAGCTGTCTGAAAAACAGTAAYACATACAMCTTTTAGCATAGAMGCCTSCAGGTTCATTTGCAGTAAAATCTCAATTTAAAAACTAGACTTCATCCTCTACTCATTTTTGAGAAAACRCTKCACTGGCATTGTTTAGGCCTATTTTAGTCGCGTTCGAAATGTCGTGGGCAAAAATCACACATTATAAATCGTCCTTTAATTTGAATTCTATATTTTGTGGGTTTTAACATGGTTCAAAGCTCTTGTCTGGCTGGCTAGGGTTAGGCTAGCGCTAGCGCTGGCTAGCGCTTATTCAAAGCAGCCTCAATGAGTAGTCGTTCCTAACATTTCACATTTGGTGAAAAGCTTTAAAACAATGAAATATACTTACCGGACTTGAGAGAAGAACTTGTTTKAGGTCATAAAACACTGCTGAATCTGAGTTTGTTAGGAATGTTATCGCTACACCAGTCTTGCCAGCTCTGCCAGTACGACCAATACGATGAGTGTAGTCTGAAAATAGGTGGCATTAAAATTAACGAAGATTACAAAATGTTTGATATATAACGCGCYCAMTGGTTRGCTGATGMTCGGCAAAAGTTAATTAAGGCGYGCTGGTTAGTTTTCAGAGGTTTTGAAAGACAGATGCAGATGTAACGCGTGCTMTGGTTGGCTGATGACCGGGTTTGGAATAGGGTTCAGCTAATATAGTTCTTGCCACAGAACCAAGCCTTTTTAGCAWGATTTACGCTAATCTTGGATCAACTTTAAAAATATCTATGTAATACATTAAACCTGGAGTTGGAGTGACGCTTCTCTGGTTCAAAGAAAGCACTTTAATTAAAATATCCTAAATGGCTTACATTGCCTAAAAGACTTAACTTGCTTAACTTGCAAACATTGCCTATGTGGCTTAAATTGCCTATGTGGCTTAGATTTACGCTAATCTTGGATCAACTTTAAAAATATCTATGTAATACATTAAACCTGGAGTTGGAGTGACGCTTCTCTGGTTCAAAGAAAGCACTTTAATTAAAATATCACTCTAAACATATCTAGTACGCGTTATAGTTCATTTTATACCTTCAATAGACTTGGCCATGTCGTAATTRATGACGTGAGAAACATCCCTGTGAATAAAAAGGAAAAAACCTTGGTTCCCGAGGATTTTATGATGATATAATAACAATGATGATTAAGAAAAATAATGTATAACACTTAATTGAGTATATGAGGTCTTATCACACTCACTTGATATCGATTCCACGYCCAGCAACATCAGTACAAACCAATATGTCCTTTGCACCATTCTTTAAACTTGACAAAGCTAACTCTCTGTAACAACACCAACAGATTAAGGTTTAGTCACGTTATAAAACGTTAAATGCAAATGCGCCTTTTCATAGCGATATTTTATGATTTTAAGTCTGATCTCTGAATATGCCATCCATCAATAATGAATTGTAAATAACAATGTCTAATATTAAAATACAGTCTTTTAGAAGTCATGCTAACGTGCTTTTTGGCAATTTACTCAAGATATTCTTCTTTGTGTATCAATAGTTTTATTGATATTTTAGTTACAATCTTGCAATGCTATGCATGTACCTTTGTTCTTGGTTACGACCACCATGAAGTACTGTAGCACGGAACTGTTGACAAACCAAAATAACACAAAACATAAACAACTTATCAACCATGCATAAGACACAAACCAACAACAACGTACGCGGAAAATACACAGCAATATACACAAAATATCAATACAAACAACACATTAAAATTGAAGAGTACACCAATGTAAACACATTCTACAAATATACAAATCACAGCCATACACACATCAAGAAACAAACCATAACATATAGGATATCTTAATATAAACATGATGAACACAACGTAAACAACAAAACATAAACTCATCATTTCAAACATACGCGCAACAGAAATAACACACAAACAAAATGGCCACACATATTGGAGGTCGATTGGAAGAAGGGTAGATACAGTTATCAACCCCATGGACTTTACTCAGTGGATAAGGTTTTCTGTGGATAGCGCTATTTTATTAACCTTTTATACATCAAATGAACCCAACTCATCAATACAGAAAAGACAAGTAGTTTCAAGTAAGACTTACACCCATTTTTTCCAATGATTTAGCAAGTACATCAGCACCCTATAAACAAATTATACGTATTTAGTTTATAGCAACAACATATATCAACAAAAAATATCATTGTAGTAGATGAACAAAGAAAGTCGAGTTCTGATTATGGCTGTTTCAAAGTAGAAACCTATTTTAGCCTAAAAAAATATTTGAAGCCTTGCAAAGGGAGAGAAAGGCGGTTGATTTTGTCACAGAGAATCTGACAAGATTACCTTCTTCTGGTTGACAAACACCATGATTGGTGGATCAATGTTGCTGTTGAGGATTTCCAACAACTTCTTTCTACAAATAAAAAAATAATTACAAATAGTCAGGTTTGGTGTTTTCAAAAGGCAGATTTTTTCAGCACTAGACGTTTTTCATCTAAAGTGAACAATTTAGAATTTTAATAAAAAAAAGCAAAAACAATTGACAAACACATGATAAATGAATCAGTAAATTGACAAAAAAATGAAGGAAGGAACAATTTACATAAACAAATAAATGCGCACACCAAATTAATAAACAAACGAATTGACAAATGAATGGATGAATAAAGTAATCACTTAACACATTAATAAACTGTGCTCTATCACCAGCTAAATGCATTTACTWTATGTGAAGATCAAATCTTACCTTTTCCCATGTTCATTAAGCAAGTACACTTTTTGTTCTGTCCGCTCSACTGGTTTACCTTCAAAAACCAACAAAATCATTCAGTAAGGAAACTTAAAATAGTAAGACAAGTTACTTTACAAGGTAAAGTGTAAAGGAACTGTACAGCGGATACTCCATTTTCGAATTGAAAGTGACTAACTGCTGTTTTATTAGATAAAAGATTCTCTTGCACAAAGACCTTACCAAACACAAAAGAATGCGTGAAAGCGTTGAAAGTTTGCTTTTTTTCCAACTTTGAAACTAACCCTGTATTCCCAGAAGGCCTAACGTTACTGTAAGCCTTTTTGGGAATACTGGGTTGGCTTCAACTTGGGGAAAATGCAAATAGTTAGGGCTATTGTAATTACAACAGGCTACAAGGTCTTTGCACAAGAAAAACTGCTGTCAAATAAAAGGCAGCCATTCTCTTTCAATTCGAAAATGGAGTATTGTACATTATACACGGAACTGAAGCATATACACTTTTTCTTGAAACGCTTTCACTTAATGAGTACAAAGTACAGATAGTACTTACCAACAGAGCCAATGTAGACAACAGCAGGTCTCCTGATATCAAAAAAATAATAATCAGAAGAACAAACAARCAAATCATTAATGGATATATTCATGTTGTTGTAAAATATTTATTGTAGTACCTTAGATATGTCTTGGCAAGTCTCTCTACTTGTGGAGGCATGGTAGCAGTAAACATGACAGTCTATTCACAACAAAAACATGACACCTGGTTACAACTCTAGGTCTTGTTGAAATACAGGCTTAGCTTCAAATCGGAGAAGATTCAAATTTCAAAAGCTGTTGTGATGTCAACATTTTTCGTGCTTTCTTTTGTTAATGTAAGGTCTATGTCTTTTGAATGGAAAAAGGCTTGACAAAAATCAGAGTGAATAATTTAGAAAAAAATGGTTAAGGTGAGTTGTTGGTTTTTAGGATTAAAAAAAATTCACTGACATGGCACTTGGAAAGTCTTTGATGCCTAATATTGGTCATTTTCAAAGTTCATGGCAAGCATGCCCATATTCTGATGTACAGGAGTTCCTGTAGTGTTTTTCACTATTTTAACATTGTACAATTATCTTTTGATTAGTGTTTGAATAACCTGTCTGTATTTATCTTTTCCCATGTGTGCCAGCAAGTGTTCAGGATCCTCAGCAACCTCTGTGTCTGGTTTAAGGTTGGTCACAGGTAGATGGTCAAGAATCTTTTGTACATCAGGCTCAAATCCCATATCAATCATACGATCAGCCTTAAAACAAACATATGATTCATATTCAATCAGTCTTCTTCATGTATATTTTTTCATATCAAGGGTGATTATTATAATGATAATGAATCATTTCTGACCTATCAATGGCCTAGAGWTATTTACAGTGAAAGATYATTGAGACTAATRGTTGGTATCAAAACTCTGAATCATTCTATTGTTWTCTTTTGTTCTTTACCAACRAATACTAACTAAATACTCATTCATTTTCATTGCACAGTCAAATAAAATGACTCCAGTTGCTATTTTTCAATCTGAAACTCAGAGCAAATAATAATTATGCAAATATATWTTTTTTTCTTCTATCGGGAGAGACATAACCTGAGCCAAATAACAACTGTCAGAAGAGACTATTTATTTTTAATGCTCTTTATCATTCTGATATCAATTCATTTTTTCCTCTTTTAAACTCATCTGGCTTGTAAACATGGTCAAACACTTCATCTTGGCCTTTTGGGATCCTTCTGGTATTCTCTTGGCCGAGTGGGACATTAGACCATGTGAAGGGTCACTATCTCCCTTGGTCATATTAAAGAAACAGGAATCCCAATCCCAGTCGTACCTCAAATGATTTATTTATTTGATCCCATCAAAGACGTATAAAATCACATTTCAGCACATAAAAATCACATTAGTATATAAAAATCTCATTAGCTTATAAAACATGGGGTTATAGAAATCGTTGTATTACCTCATCAAGGATTAAGTAGGAACACCTACTAAGGACCAAGTAACGGTTTTCTGTGAAATACAAAATGCTTATTAGGTATCAATATACTCTCAAAACTCACAAACATAGTATCTAGTACTCTTAAATTTCCTCATTCTCAAATTTTAACACAATGTAACTTACCCAGTACATCAATAAGACGACCTGGTGTTGCTATGACAATCTGAGAATAAGATGATATATTATAATCCTGGTAATAAATATTGAGCCTGAGACATGTATTTTTCAAGTCCTATCCATAGTCTCTTTAGAGTGCATTCATTATATCATGACTTTGCAAGAATTTGAATATACTAGTAATAGTCTTCTTCACGGTTCCCTTTGCATCGAAGTGAGACGACCGTTGAGCATGCAATAAACTTTATTTCACACCTACAGACAATTATTCACAGGTATCTATCATTGCACACTCAACAGTTGTCTCGCTTCGATGTAAAGGCCTTTCAAGATGGCGCACGTAACTGAGAAGGAGACTATTGCGCTAGATGACAGGGATTTCGTATGAGTTTGGAAAATTCTATTGCTAAACTATTTCTCGGGATATGAATGCAGTATGTTTGACAAAGCCAACAAGTTAAATTGTTTCCAAAGAGGTCCACAAGGCTTCTGTATTACGATATCACTCATAAACCAAGAACACAGAGAGGCTAAACATGTGCAAGTTGACAACACTTGTTTAACTTTGTTTACCCTTGCTTACTCAACAATTTCTTTTTGTAAGTTAAGGGAAACTGGGATAAACAGACTGGGAGTCTATGGTCTTACCTCACAGCCAAGTCTTAGATGAAACCCTTGCTCTTCACGAGATAACTAAATAACAAGKTTCATGTCATATTAGTGAAAATTGCAAATTATTGTATCTATAACATTTAAGGGACAAAAAATAAACTTGTACAAAATAACTGCTATAAAAAAAGTGCTTAACTGTGCTGCTGATTCCATTGTTTTCTACAATGTATTGTTAAATTAGCACTTTCAAAATATTAATATTGTTGAACATTGCATACTTTTTAATATTCTATCCTCAAGTTATAGTGTAATAGTTACAAACTCACCCCACCAACAACAGATACAGATCGTATTCCTAAAGGACGACCAAATTTAAGAAGTTCCTCTTCAATCTAATGAAAAAAGGACAGCACTTTTAAGTTAACTTAAAAGTTAATACAKGCTGTACCTCATAAAATTTTGCAAGGAACAATGTAGTACAGAGCAAAGCTGCACTCAAGTTACTATCTATCAAAAGTGWAACTGAACATGCTCAAACCTGTTGTGCCAATTCTCGAGTAGGTGCCAATATCAAAGCATAAGGACCTTGGTCGGCATCTTCTTGTCTAAGAAAAAAGTCAATAATTTGAAAAAGATTATATGATACCTTTGACATGTGAAAGATAGAAAGTTTTAGCAAAAGAAGACCTGGTATTTCATCATTGAATTACAAAATAAATAGTCAGTGAATTCATACTTTTTACACATTTAGTACTCTCTCATTGGATTGTTTTCTTTTTGTGTCTTTTTTTCTGACTATCACACTTTAATAGTCAACTGCTTTAATGACTTCACTCTATCATATAATCTCTGCTTGACTAGAGTACTTAAAAAAWTACTTAATGATATTCCTTTAGAATGATTTCTATTAACATGAAAATAGTTAATTAAGAGAAAAGACAAAGAAAAATGTACAAAATATAAGCCATAAAATCTGTTTTCACAAGAAAACCACTCTAATTCCCATTATATATTTTAGTAATTTAGTGCAGGTGATTGTTTCATAGAGGAATATAGTTTTTACTCTACCAACCTTTCTATTTTTGGTAAACCCATAATCCAGCATAGCAATGGAATAGTAAATGCAGCAGTTTTACCRCTACCTGATGGGAAATAAAGCAAAATAATCAGCAAAATATCACTTAAAAGAACTTAGTCATACAAATAGCAATCAAGATAAGTACAAAAATTTATAATGAAGATCTAATAATCTAATAATGAAGAATTTATTATTAATTCATAAGGTAAACACAATGCACAATTTACAATGTACACAATGACAATCCATACATCATGCTACTTATTGTAAAACTCTTGGAWGGTTATCTTGAAAGTGATAATAAATTGTATTGAATTGAATGGAAAATCATTGCTTGGATCGCATCTTTGTACGAGAAAGAGATTTGCACTCCACCTTAACTCCTATTTTCTCTTAAAAATGATATTTTATCTTGAYGTTTTTAGCAAAATATGCTTTAGCTTAKGTTGGAATTCAACAAGCAATATAAAATATTTGTGTCTGACATTCATAAGCATTACCTGTCTCTGCAACTCCTATGATATCTCTGTTTTGCATCCCTATTGGTATTGCTTGCCTTTGGATAGGTGTTGGGTCCTGAATAGATGTGRATATTGAAAGCTTGTTGAGGTAATAGTTTGTAATGTGACATTCTCATGTCAAACTATTTGACCTCATGACCCCAAAATCATCGCCATAAATACCATTTATTTGGTATTACAAACACTATGAACTAAGTTCTATAGAACTGACAAAGTGAGGTGGACAATAGTGGGAAGCCACCCCCCCAAATTAAGGGAACTTTTTTTAAATGTATTTAAGAAAAAATATTAAAAGATCAAAGTTTTTCATTTTTTTCCTATGGTCCTGTCCCCTCATTTTTATTGGTTCTCACTACGCCCTCATCTAGACATAAAGAGTGCAAGTCACATAAGCATGAAACAATTCTTAACTATGTAGTGCTAAATAAGATTTAGTTATCAACTAACTAAGAATTGAGTCTAACAATGCTACAAAGGAATTTAAATAATTTGGCATTGTGTTTATGCTTTGTTGAATTCTTAGTTAGTTGATAACTAAATCTTATTTAGCACTACATAGTTAAGAAATGTTTCATGCTTATGTGACTTGCACTCTATAAAGATGGCTTAAATGTATTTTGTCAATTTACATAACAATGACAAGAAACTGAATCAGGTTGTGAATCAAGTCCAAACTGAAGCAGGATATTTTTATCAGCAACATTGAAATCAGTCTTTTGCTATAAGACACTTTGCTGTCATTGATACTTACGACATAGTTAAGTTTATCAACAATATCTAAAATCTCCGTAGGAACAGCAGATTCTCTCCAATTYCGTATGGGATTTGGTATCCGTCCCCCTAAATCGAAAGGTTAAAATTGAGAATCATAAAATGCATTATTGGAAAATCAAGTTAACGATCCTGTCAATTCGTTTGTCTGTCCTTCCAGCTGTCAGTCAAATTAGTTGAATATAATACTATCAGTATCATGATAATCAGTTCCCTAAAGACCATTTGCTCAGTCAGAGAGTCAGTCAGTTACAATCAGTCAATCAGTTAAATTTGGTCAGTCACAATCAGCCAGTCCTTGAGTCATTTAGTCAGTTAGCAGTCAGCCATGAATAAGTCTGTTAGAGAGTACACAAGTCATGCACATCCATTATTTGTGAGTCAATCAGCCAATTCTATATATCAGCCAATCAATCAGTAATTTGGTCAGTCAGACAGACAGACTGAAATTCATCACAGATGTGCCAGGATTCAGCGAGTCAGTAAGACAGAA